CCTGTGAGTTCCTTCTATAATTTCCAACCACTCATCCCGAATAACGACATTATCTCCTTCGGCTGGCAATCGGTAACTCAACAATTCTCTGATCGCCTTCTTCTCTTTGTCTTCCTCTGCGTTAATCAATCTCACTAGTCTGCTCCGTATATCGCCTATTCCTGGTCCACCTAGCACACGCAGAATTTCCGATGTAGAACCACCGTTATCGCTTACGCCTAACACGTAAGTGACGTCTTCTGCGATTGACTGTAAAAGGTCAACCTAATAGAAATGAAAACTTTTTTTGTCATATATGATGTATCTAACAAAAAAATTTTTGATAGCATAATATTTGATTAGGGAAATTACCATTGAATTGCACGCTGAACCGCCCGAGATGACGACAAAAGAAGGTGATAAACTCATGGTTTTGGTTTGAGAAAGAGCTTTAGAGGGTTTTGTAGAAAGTAGTAAGCCGACTCCTTTGTCCGTCGTCTCTCTCCTTTTCAGATACTGTTTGTGTTGATCATGTCATTGTTACTTGACTGATGATTATATAAACGATGTTTTCTTCGTTTCTTCAAAGTAATCTTTACCAAAGCCAACGGTCGGGTTTGTATACCCTGTTAATTATAATGAATACTGTTTCGTCAATAAATCTACCCTTTCCCAATTAATTATCAATATAACGTAATAAACAAGTGGATAAACGGATATCAAGGGACAGTAGAATTTTAAGGATAGTGCATATTCCACAATTTCCAGGAATATAATTGTCTGTTTACGTAATACTTAAATGTTTTTATATTATCACATCTATTGGGTATGCTGCGGTCCAATTAATATGTCAGTGTCATTGTATGCGTTTTCTGCGGATTACCAGTTATTATTAGGGGCCCCCACGTAAAATTTGTATATTGTGGGGGGTACATGATAGCACCCCCAAATTCTGTACTAATATGCAATTGTTTACTTTCCCTTCTAGGGGGATCTAATAAAGATGTTATAACGTTACGAAAATAGCTTCGATTTGGTGGGTTGATGGCTAGTCAAGACTTCAGCCGCTTAGTGATGAGACCACCGACTCCACTGTTTGCTTAAACATTGTGACTATAATCCGTGTTCGCTCTACGCTATGTCTCCAATATACATAGTGAAAGTTTAATAGTAGTGTTTGTAACGACTTAACTAAATTCCAAAATTTGTGCAACATCGTCATGTACTACAAAGATCTTCATTGTATAAAGATTATCGTTATATATGAAACTGGGATTGACGAAGAAAGTGTCTGCACCATCTCCTTCGTTATATAAGTGTTGTTGCGACGCTGAAGAAAGTTGCATCAAATCCCCTATTAATGCAAACTCCCCCTGATATTTAATAGGCTGAAAATGCACTTGAAAAGTCTCTCTATCATGTCTTATAAACGTTTACTTCCTTCTTCCTTTAGTTCGCTAAAGATCTTCGTTCGAAGTTAGAGTAGCTACCCCCTGTAATAAATACACTAACACTAACTCTAGTAGTAGTAGCAGTATAATAATAATAGAAACTGTAAGTAATAGTCATAGTAATAGTAATGCAGACGCCTTGGGTTCACAGCTAACAGTTTCCGCTATTATTATTACTATTTTGTTTATTACAGCAACCGTTTTGAGAGATGGCATGGGGTGAGATGGAGGGAAATGCGAACTCTGGACTATGTTGGTATGTTGCTAACATTCCATAAGTAATGGGCGCATATCATTATTATTATGTAAGCGTGAACATTATCTGTAACTAAATTACTATTATTTACTATTACTATTATTATCATGTCAATGAATAGTCATTCGAATGCTGATATATGATTGATGACTTTTTGTTGATAATCTCGTTGATAGAAGAAGTATGGCACACACTTTGTTGTTGCTCATCAACAGTCTCTGTTTTCGTTGTAATTACCATTGTTAACTAACGATTCAGTATTAGTATTAACGTCATTCTATGTCGAATCAGTATCTTTGTCTTCGACTTGGCATATGCCATACTAGAATTTGGAGATGGACGATGTACATTGAATGTGGGAGGGGACTATGGTATTGTGGACTCGTGTGAAGTTATTGTGCATGGATGCACTGTGTACACTTGGTGCTTGTGCCTATCATAATCACTTTATCAAGCTCCGCTTGTGTGTGGTAGAAGCGATTTGGTATCCATTGTTTTTAATGTTACTTTACTAATATCAATATATCATATACATTTACAGGATCACTTTTACAATTGTAACTATAGTTTCTTCCTACGATGCGCACAGTTTCTTCGTTGCAACTAAACGCTGGCCATGGCTAGGCTATACTAATATTAATAGCAACTTTCGTAGCCTAGTGAGGGTTTCTTATCCCAATGGACCAGCATTTTCACTTCTGCTGCTACTGTTGCATTTTGTTTGATAAGAATCAATAGTAATTAATAGAATCTCCATCTACGATGTACACCGTCAATAAAATTCCTATCATCCTGCTATTTATTGTCACCAACACTCGTGTTTGCTTGTCAACAATGCAATGCACTTGCACGCCAAAGAGAATTTACTAATGATGAACTCGCTCACGAAGTAACTACCAACAGATTTGATGGAAAACCACTAACTAAAGTTTATTATCACCTTTCTACTGACATTTGTTATGGTATATGTGTAGATAATAATTACTCAAACACGATAAGTGATGTTCTAGCGATTTTGCGACGTATTGTTGTATCGATGAATTTCACATAATAACATCATGTATTAATTAGTATTGACATTTTATACGGTAACTGCAATGAACAAACATGTAAGTTATATAAGCATTGGATTCTTGGTTGTTGCGCTATTTATTCCAGATTACGACGAAAATCGATTTTGCGTTTTCGAATAATCAAGCGAATCGGAATATCGAAATTTAAATCATTCTGTGTCAATTTTTGGTATACAGTTATGATTAACAACCACACAATTTATATGAGAATTGGATTCTTGGTTGTTGCGCTATTCCAGATTATGACAAAAATCGATTTCGCGTTCAAGCGAATCGTAATATCGAAATTTATATCGTACTTAGTATTAGTATTTTGTGTCAATTTTTGGTATACACCTCGACAACAGTTGTTAAGTTATATGAGCATTGGATTCTTGGTTGCGCTATTCCGGATTATGACTTCGCGTTCAAGCGAATCGTAATATCGAAATTTAAATATTATGTATCAATTTTGGTCACACATTAGCAACAGTTATGCTTAATATTAATATTAACAAATTACTATTGCGGAAAACACGAGATTTCTAACTTTAGATAATGAAGATACGATTTCATTACTATATTAATGTCTGGAAAAGGCAAGTCAATAATCAAAATTGACTTCTTCTTCTTCTTCTTATTATTATTATTATTATAAGTGATATTATTATTTATTTTGATGTAATAAGAAAATAATATACAACAGACAACAAAGACAACAAAAAACGAAAAAACAAAGTATATACAATAAAAGAGCAATTTTCCTTTGCTGCTCTATTAGTAACTTCAATTCTTTTTCCTCCCTTTATCCCCTTTTTAATATTAGTTTCATCTTCTCCTCCAGCTCCTCCAACTTATTATTTATTGCCATCCACGTTTCCGTTATCGGTTTTATTCCTGATAAGTATTAATTGCATCATCATAGTCAAAAACCAATGAAGAACGTTCACAGCAGGCCGTCCACCGTACGCCAGGGCTGGGTACCTGACTGGCGACTTTCGCAAGCTGCGGCCACGATGCGCTTTCAATTCAAATGGTCAATGTATCCTATTCACCACACCCGGAATAAAATCTCTGGCGGCTTTGTCGGCAACGGAGAACGTTCACAAAAATATCAGGAACTACATAATGTTTTAAAGGTATCTTATTCACCACACCCGGAATAAAATCTCTGGCGGCTTCGTCGGATACGGGAATCGATATATATATTGATATATACACCCATTGTGCTTACCGAAACCCGATTTATACCCAAGTGGCAGCGTAACTTCAGATACCTACATCAAGTAATCACCTAACTGGTACTTTACGATTTGTGGCTCAAATTCTCCGATATTTTACACCTAGTGGCAGCGTACCTTCAGATACACTATTGACCATTCAACAAAATACTCAGTGAAAACTCACCTCCAACGTGATAACTTGCTTCCACAAGGATGTCAAATATTTTCTTCTCATGCTCATGTTCTATTTGCGTTGTGTTTGCCATGATCTAAAAAATAATAATAAGTTTAGTAATATCTCATTAAATGCAATCAATAACCATTATTACCTTCGAAAGAGGAGTAAGAAGTTGGATGGATTCACTTCGAATGAACGTTAGTTAAATAGATAATGAATTAATCAAACCAAATATGGTATCTTCTCAGCCAATTAATTCTCACGAACATTGCCGACAATCGTCATCCTCCGCAGTACTCCAACAGTTTGAAGTAAATAGTATCAGTATCAGTAATATTAGCAATGGTACATAATTAGTATCACCAGACCTATTATATCCGTTCTTCCATGACTCGGTTGATAGATGATAATATATTAACGAACAGGGCTCTACAAACAAGTTAGCCAGTTTTGGCAATTATCATCATGATAATCAATAATATTAGTAGTGTCTATCGTATTATTTCTTGAACCTCACAGTAAGTCCTTATTGAGGATACACAAAAATTCCAGTTTTTGTAACATACCTGACATGCTAAGAGCTAGCCGAGAAAGTTAGAAGTATAATAAAATTACACTACCCCGACAAACATTTGAACACTTTAACTTTATAAATTTCAAAACACACACATAATAACTGAGATAAAACAATTGTGATGTGAACCTGGTATATTAATATTTGCAATGTCATCTTATTCGTTTATATTATCAATCAGCCTGCTGTTGTACAAAACATTGAGATCGGATCTACGTGCTTTAGATTCTTTCCATTAGATCTCTGTTTCCGTTTTATAACTTCAAACTCTTTTTAAGCCAATCGTTATGGTAAACGTCCACAGAATTCAGTTTACGTGACTAGACCAGGAATGTGCTTTTTAATATTACGATCCATTTTATCTTATTTATAGGCTGCTTCTAACTCTCAAGGGATTCAGACGCTTGTGGAGGCTGAAAAGGAGGCTGCAAAGATAGTTCAGAAGGCAAGACAGTGTAAGAATGCAAGATAAAGGAATGCAAGATAAAGGAAGGTCATGTAATGCTATGTTATGCATCTACTTATGGAAGTTTGCTATGTCTTCGTTTAGATCGAATTGATCGACTAAAGGCTGCCAGAACAGAAGCGGCGAAAGAGATCGAGGATCTAAAAGCCCAAAAAAATGAAGAATTCCATCAATTTGAGACAGAGGTACTATATAATTATTTATAAGCTGACAGCGGTTACAATGTACCTTTTTATTGCTTCACAATGCTCGTGAGTTCTAAATGACAACTCATCCTGGTATAGCATGCTGGCTCTTCAGATCAAACTTTTGCCAAAATTACAACGGAAACCGAAGTTAAACTACAACAGATTCAAGAGGCTTTCAATAAACACAAGGCAGTCGTCATTGAAAGACTTTTGTCGGTTGTAACAACGATAGAGCCTAAGTTACATCCTAATGTAAAAGTTGGAGATCAGGCTTAAATGGTTAGAACAAACACATATTTATTGGGTCCTCGGCGATTCTGCATGTTCCGAGCTTTCATGGAATTGGGAACTTGCACGGCAGTCACAAATATTACTAATAAATAATGAAGAAGCGCATTCTTATAGCACGAAGATGAATCAGGATTGTTGCGAATAGTATAATAACATGAGAGAAAAAACTCCAACAAATGTGATGCGTTTTATTCGATCAGGCACATGGGGAGTGGCACGCAATGAATGGAACTGGGGAAAATAGCCCCCTATTTCCCTCCCGCATTTATCGCAATAACATCTCATTATTTTGCTTTGTAGGATTGCCGGCTGAGGCATATACGCTGAAATCAAAGCATACTAATACGTTTATATTATCCACTTTTCTGTAATGTCGCGACTCCCTCTGTCGTAACCGGGAGAGTATTGGAGGTGGGATAACTTTCATTGATATTGAAATGATAGGGATAACATGACTTACCGAAAGTACGAAAACTCGTTTAATTAAATCTTATGCTCAAGATTATTATCAGAATAACAAAATTCCTCTACCCAATTCATATTATTATTGGATGTAGCAATATCCCACATTCAAGATGAAGTCTTATATTATATGACGGACTGCTCTTATGAGGTTAATCCACTTAACAGTATATTATGACATGACACAGCGATTCACCCATAATCTATCCTATGTTCTATAGAAAATTTCCAATAAACCATAGAAGATTCTTCATCCTTAAATACTCCCATGTTTAATTTTCGTTAGTAATATTGGTCGCTAAAGTGCCGGTCACGATGCTTGACTCACGTTTGTCTTAGAAAACCTATTGACAATTCAAGCGGGTTCGGCATCATAAAACGTATGATAATAACCTTCCATCACGGCGGGCATCAAACTCTTCCTCACGACGGTTTAAAACTGGGATATAAGGAGGCATAGTTAATCCAACTAGCCCTACCCCGGAGAAAAAAGTCCATTTGTAACTGAGGAAGAATTCTTGATACCTCGTTATCAGTAAGCTCCAGCTTGCCACCAGTAGAACTGCCGGAGTAACAAATTTCGGTTCCTAGGCCATCTGGTGTAATGAGCTCCCCGAGGGCGGCAAGGTTTGCATCTTAAATACGTGCGATAATAAGTCTTTGTAACCTCCCGTTCCATTGTCGTAGAAGACTCCCTATCAACATTGGCATGATGTAACAGGACATAGGGGAATATTCTTGTGACAGTGGGAGTATAAATCTGGGTCTCATGAATTAGAAGTGAACATTCAATTTTTCAGCGGCACAAAGTTTACAGATAACGAACGCTCTTTTAGTAAGAGTTGTCGCGGGTCCCCTCAAGTATGAGCCGAACTGACGCATGAGCTGGTCGAGTGTTCGTCCTGCTCGTTTTTCAGACAAAATAAAAAAACTCGTAGTGCTTCTTCGTAAGTATTGGATCAACATGTAGTTGATGCGAAGAATTTCGTACAAAGCCAGTTATTATCGATTAATTTCGATGTCAGTTTGGTTGTACTAGCCATCCACAGGCGGAACTTGCTCTTGTGATATTAATATACATATTGGTAGAAATTGATTCCGTTATAATCGGAGAAATTGAACAATGAACTTGTGCCAAATAAAACAACTGTTTCCTTGAAGTTGACGTGCCTAATATTAGGTAAGAATGTGTAATTCTCAAGTCAACGCGTGCTTAACCTTTACTAACTAACCTGCATCCCAATTAAAACTAGGAGATAAGTTATACATAACGTTATTTCAGGATGTACAGCCAAAACACCTGCCGAAATCAAATCGAGGTTATATTAGCGTATTCAAGTATACATGAAATTTACGACAGTGATATATAGGCTCATCACCATTAGAAAATTCTTTCACTTGTGAGTATACAGAGCTTTTCGTTTCCTGCAGAAGTTGATGTAGGCAAGACAAAAAGCCGAACAATCCGCTACATAGAATTATTAATAAACACCAGCATTTAAATGTAAATAGTCTCCATCAGTATGTCGGTCTCAGCTGTCAAGCTCTTTCTTCGGTACGTCTGCAATGTATTCATCGCGTGATTCGGAGTTCCTCCGCATCGCTTCTTCGTCTGATTCTCTGTTATCTTGTTCATCCATCTCTCCACCCCAAATGTTCTCAATGATATCACTGATATCAATTTCTCCCCGCTGTTAATAGCACATCGTGTGCCTCCTTGATACCGATAATATTCTTCTCGAGTGCGGGAGGGGGGAGGCATCCCAATCCCAGAACAAATCAAACCGATTTAGCATAAGCTTTAGCATCGTCGTGTGGTAAAGTGTTCACCGTTTTTCCTTTATCGGGCTTATTTGAAATCTCGCATATCCCGTTACACAAAAACTGAAATTTCCCATGACTAGAACGCGTGGTAGAATCTTTCTGAACATCTAGTATGCCCTATAACGCACTCACTCATTACACGCATCCCAAAAACCTCATTATGTTATTACTAAGCATAGATTACTAAGTACTGAAAGTAATTGCGCCACACTGACATATTTAATGTCTTGCCAATTAACAACAGAAGTTTTTCTATTCTAATGCTAAATGGTTTTTCTTTTAATGTGCATGTGGCTAAAATGCAAGATAGGTTGTCGCACGTCATTTTTTTATTAATTTTTGCTTATGTCGCGAAAAAGTTTTTTATTGACTTGCAAGTAATATTGCTCGTATAACAGACTATGATCCAGTTTGTAATCAATGGTTTGATTTTAATAAGAATTTTACTAGAGCACGATAATTTAGTCTATTAAATGCGCGTTTCGTTGGCAATTGATTTGCAGAAGCAATATTCTTATTAATAATAACATAATTCCTCAACCGTAAATAGATCCAGCACATACTTTATCCAACTCTCTTCGACAAAGGTCTATACGATAACCGTAGTCTCTATGACTAATAGGTAGCTATATAAAAAAGTTTGCGTGCGTCTGATTACAAAAACTGTTTGGTGAAACATATCCGAATCGTTTCATCCTTCACATTTCCCTTTGAGCCAAGTGTAAAAGCAGATGTACGGTCACTTTTGCATATAAAGAAATAAATCCACAGCTCTGTGCTTTCGGTTCGTTTTATTATTTGACTTGTATGGACATACTAGTCATGGAACATGTTTTTAATAAAACGTCTTATGGTGAATACGAGAGATATTCCCGATAGAAATGGTTCAATATCGAGTATGAAGAGAACTATTACAGTATATAGTTTGGTTTTCTTGAGTATAATTTTCCATAGATAAGTTTCAAAAAATGGTTTCTCTCCAACCATTAAATTAAAATGGGTCAAACCTTTTATCATTATTGAGTACGATTCAAGCTTTAATTATTTTACAAAGCCAAAGATAAGGTTTCTGAGATAATTGCACTGTGTCAAAACTTTTTGAAACCCACCCATGTAATTTTGTTATACCATTGCCTGAATTGTATAATGGCTGACACTCTTGAGTAACTCTTTATCCTTTAAATCATTACGTACTGTGTAACAAAGTTTTTTCGCGTACTTCAAATGTTAGCAACTTTTTCAAATAAATGCAATGCGCGTTATATTTAAAAACACATAAACAAGCAGTACCAAACTGTAAACAAATAAAGTTTAAAATGGTTTTTTGTTTTGTTTTTGTTGAGAAGTTACTGCTAACGACATTTTATATCAAAGAAAAACTATGGCTGAATGGAATTACAAAAATAATACATTCCAGGACTGGCATCACAAAATCAACTATCTATCTTAAAAACAGGGAATAATTTAAGAAAATCAGCAAGTGGTCCCAAGAAAATCCCGCACATGAATTGAGAGCAATAGCTCAATATTTGCGTCGTAACCCGACTGTATACGAGAAATTTGGTGATTAAATTGACGAAAAATGTCACAAAGGTGTCTCATATGTCAATTTTAAGACATTTGGCAAGATTGGGTTACCAAAACAGTCTGCCTCTAAAGACACCTATGCTTACGGTTGCTCATAAAAAAGCTCGCGACCAGACACCTCAATGACAATTGGGAGGCCACATTATTTTCTGACGAAACTGCTTTTCAGTTATTCAGAAACACAATAACCCAACGGTATAAGGGCGAACAACCAGTCCAGCGGATTCCTAAAGATTGGACTAAAATCTTTGCACGGGATTTTGTATACGCGGAAAAACTTCTCTATTTTGCTTTAGGAAATGCCTGAGCAACATGACTTGTTATTGTATGCTTCGGGTCATTATCTTGCTGGAAGCGCCAATTGCTCCTAAAAAGTTGGTTAATTTCTTACGAATGACCTCGCAAAATATCAACGTAAAGTCATAATGTTCCTTAGCGAAAACTTTTGGACTGGCCTTCCAATAGTCCAGACTTCAACCCTATTGCAAATCTTTGGGCCATTGTTAAAAGAAACGTAGAAATGCATATGCCTAAAAATCTTTCAGAATTAAAGCAGTATATGGCAGAAGAATGGGATAGAATTCCGAATAATGTTCTAATTAACTGTATCAGGTCAATGAGAAGGAGATATGAGATGATAATAGAAAACAATGGTCGTTAATTTTATGTCAATAAAAACTTTAGATTATGCAAGAAGTAAATAAAAAATCCCAAACCCTTTGTTACAACACTGTACGTCAAGTACAGTTAGTTTTATAATCGGAAAGCACGAGATTTCTGGTTAGTAATTTTATTTTTCTATTAGAATTATCAATAAAACGTCAATGTCAGGATAATTTGTTTTATTCACAAATACATCATCTTGAGGTTATAAACGTCAATTTTATTTGAGGAAACAAGCAAAGGTTGTTTGAAAAAAATTATATACATACATAAATTGCGCTTCCGAGAGTCTTTAATAATATCAATGAAATGAGTTCAATATATTCTACAAGATCTTGATCCCGATTGGTGCTTTTGCATCTGCAAGTCACATGAATATAGATTGTACCACCAACAATTTCCGAATTATCTACATATAAATGAGATTATCCGCAGTTCGCATTCCCGTT